CTTTTGCTGCTGCATGGAAGACTTACCATCACACACCCTGCAGCATCCCCAGGAGTGCTGCTGGACCCATCGCAAAGGATGCTGAAGCCTTTGCTCAGCACAGCCCGTGGCACAGGATCAAAGCATAGTGTGGCTGTGCCAGCCAGGAGCCATTCCCGTCTCCAGCAAGGCCCGGGGGACCAAAGAGCTGCTCCAGCAGTGCGTGTGGCCATGTGGTTTTGCCAGTAGCCACAGACCAGTCCCCTCTCATAGGGAAGCCACCACTTCCTGTCACTGAAAGCTGTTCTGGTTGTGGTTGAGGACAAAGCAGCCTCAAAGGAAGTGGCAGCCTACTCAGCAAGCTCTAGAAAGTAAGTTTTACTTCCACCTGCGAGCTCAGGGCAAGCAGGCAAAGCAGCTCATGGAAGAATTCTGAGCGGAGAATGAAGTGGCAGAAGCCACTGCTTGGGCAAATGAGACCACACAGCACAAAGACTACCTTGACATCTCACTCCTCCCCCACTCTGGCTGCATTGTAGGACCAAAGGGCTGGAGCCAGAGTCTGAGCAGCAACAGGAGGCAAGGCACAGAGCACACCTAGAGCAGAAGGAAACTCCCTGGGAACTGGTCAGGAGCAGCCAGAAGTCCCTCCGCACCAAGCCAATTAGGCACCCTCCTGAAGAAGTACACCAATTCCTGCAGCCAACCAGCATGATCTGCAGACATGTTTGAATTCTCGGCCCCAAGATCGTGTGCCCACGTGCAGTACAAAGGAGCCAACTTTTTGCACAGATGAAAAATGAGGCTAGAGCAGACCCCATCCAACAGAAAACCACCTTACCTGCAGGGAAATGTGGCCTCAGTTGTTTGTAGCAGCCTTGAAAGCAGCCTGTGCATCAACACAGTGGCTGTGTCTGGCTGAACACAAGACCATAATCAGGGCAAACATTAGAGCCACAGCTAATTAGCTGGCTTCTAATTAGCCACAGCTTTGCAGCCTGAAGCATCTTGAGGAGGGAGAGAGCAAAGCTCTTTCCAAGCCAATCTGGGCACCCCCAGCCCGCACCATCAGTGATCTGCAACTGCAGTGGTTTGAGCTGGGTTTATTTACTGTTGGCACTGCCAGCTTCCCCCAGGAGAGCACAACAGTGTTCGTGGATGTGAAACTCGCTGATCAATGCACAACACGACACACAACACATGGTGGTGCCACCGCTGCTGCTGTCTGGGCCCGTCCCTCAGCTTGCAGCAGGTCTGCAAAATAGCACCCACAACTGATGGACAAAGGCTGCCAGCACCCCAGTCCTGGCTGCAGGATGGTGAGTGACAGCCAGGGAGGTGCCCAACAGTACACAGAGAGCCACCCCAGCAGGAAACATTCAGGATCCACACCTCGCTTGTGGCAAGTCTTTTCCCCTTTAAACCCCACAGTCCCTGAGCAGCTTTTCAGTGGCTCTGTCCGAGACAGGCAGCCATTCTCACAGGAAGCAGGCCAGAGCCCAGAAAGAGCCCACACCTTGTACAGTCATTTGCCTTCTAGACACCACCAGCTTGTGACTCTGTCAACCACAAGCCCCACTGGCGTGCCTGGCACAGCTCTGCAAGCACAGCTCAAAGCTGAGAGAAGCCCAGCTCAGGCTCACACATTGCTAAAGCCCACGTCAGGCTCGCACACTGCTGAAGCCCACACGGTTACTGCCTCATGTGAGCCCTCACCACACACTTTCCACCAGGAGCCTGCTGCAGAGGCTCTCCCCGGTGCCAGGTCCAACCTCAGCTGGCCCCTGTGGGGCAGAAGTGCAGACCAGGCAAGATTTTCCCTGGCTGGGCCCTTGCAGGGCAGAGTGCAAACCCAGCCCGCAGTTTGTCATTTTGTGGGTGAATAGTGGGTCAGGATATGCATTTGCCTCCTTTGGGTCAGAACTGCCATCTATACCAGGTCTGGTCGCAGGATGGTTTGTGGTCACAGATGGGACTCACTCCGCTCGGCAGATGAACCAGATCTCGTTGCGACGCTGAGGGACACTGGGATTTTCATAAGCAGCCACAATGTAGGTTTCCTGGAGCACAGTGTCTGTGGAGCCCAAGAGCTCCCAGAAAAGGCTGATCTCTCGCAGAATCGTCTCCTCAGTGGTCATCCCATAGAAAACCCTGCAGCAAAGGCAGCAATGTAAGCAACAGAGCCAGCATGTTCCCCCTTCCCTCAGTCAGGGCTCCCCATCCCTCTGCCCAAGGAACCACAGCAGCCACGCAGGGAGTTCATACACCACTGCTGAGCTGAGAAAGCGCCTCCATTGTGGGGTCACCTGGTTATAACCCGGAGTGGTGCCCTCTCGGTGATGTGGATTTCAGGGTCCATGGGAACAGGGGGGTTTTGCTGAAACTCTCCCGGGATATAATAGGCAGTTATAACCTCACGCTCCAGCTCGGTCCCTTCCTTGGTCAGGTGGATTTCGTTGAGCACTGGGACTGTCATGCCCAGATAGCAGCCTGGAAGGTGGCAGGAAGGCAATGGGCACAGGGAGACAGCTGTGTCAATGGCAGCAGCTCTCCTCTGTGCAGCCTGCCAGCCCCCTCCAGCCGCTGCCTACACACACCTACAGAGTTCTCCTTGCAGATGTAGCGCATGAGCTTCATGAAGCTCATGGAGATGCTCTGCTCATACAAGGGCTCCCCCTTGGTGACACAGGCCCACTTCCCAGCTGGGTACCGCCGCTCCTCGTAGGCTGCTTCCTCGCACTGAAACAGGCCACAGAAAGCCAAGTCAGAGTTAAGTGCACTGACAACACTGCAGCGCGTGGGAGCAAGAACCAACACTGACAGGCAGGAAGTGGGGAGACAGGACCCTGCCAAAATGAGCCCCCTGCTAGTCAGTGATTGGCAGGGGAGGCTGGAGAAGGTGAGGAGAACTGGTACCACACACACCTCAGACAAGGACACTTAACAGCAAGAGGCAAAAGTCAGTGAAAGGAAAAGCACAGACAGGGGACGGGGTGCAGGGGGGCTTGGAGGCTCCTGGCATGCACAAGGAATGAAGCACATCTTCAGCAGGGGGCACAGGACTTTCTGCTCCTCTCCAGTCATTGTCCTGCCTACTCACAAGGATGTTCCTGATTCCAGGCACTCAAAGGCCTCCAGTAAGGTTGACATTATCCTTAGGTGCAGCACCATTTTCCTGGAGCATGGTGTGGACAGAGGATAACAAGGATAAAGCCCAGTAGCAGGGAAAGTCTGGCAGAAGAGCTCTAGCACCCAGAAGAACTGTGAAGGTTGGAACAAAACTCATCTCAGATCCTCCTCCCATACCAAGAAGCGACAGGAGAAAGAAGAGGCATGAACCCAGCTGGTGCAGAGGGGACAGCTTTGTGGGATGGATTGGAATCTCTATGTCCAGCACAGACACCCAGTCTTCTGGACAAATCCAACACAGAAGCAGGGCAGGAGGAGTGGGGAAATTGCATCTGGATCTGCCATAGTTCAGCTCATGGCATGATTATAACCACAGTACCACACAAAGAGGGGCTGGGAAGGTGTAGCCAGCTCCCATCTTCCTGCTCTCAGCTTGTTCTTCAGCCAGATTAAAGTGGTCATGAGACAACCTTCTTCCACAGAGCTCAGGGCTCCTGTCCAAACCTCTGTGCTCCACAGCTGTGCAGGGAGGGACCAAGCCAGGAAATTGTGACCATTCTCAACACTGAGTGCAGCCTCCCTGTTCTTCCACCCAAATCGCGTCTCTGCTCCGAAAGCCAAACCAAAGGCAAAAGGAAGGCACCTGGGCTACTCATGTGCATCAGTGGGATGCCAAGAGGAGTGCCCTCAACCACTGCAGACAAGGCAGTCTTTGCCCTATAGATGAAGCCATGCTTGCCATGCAAAGCAGAGCAAGACCATTTCCAAAGCAAGGAAACCACCAGTCCCTCTATACTCTTTGTGACTCTCACCTGCCACACCATCTGCGAATAAACCCACCAGCCCAGCAGGGAAGCCCAGTCCTTCCACAGACTGATCCTTACATTAAACACCACCACACCAAAAGATGAGACTTAACTAAGAGAAGGATGCTTCACACAGACCCAGTGGCAATGGGTCCCTACAGTGTGAGCTGGGGAATTTGATTGAGTACTGACAGAGTAAGGCATAAGGTGGCACCATTCACTTGCCTCCAGGAGGATGAGGGCTTGTTGCACTGACAGCTCAGGAGGAGCAACCAAGTAAAACCAACCTGCCTCAGCCTGGGGAACACATCCTTAAGGGTCCCAACTCCAGAGTCCCCTCAGCACTAACACCTGGAAGTGGCTCCCATCTCCTCACCCAGTCCCACAGTCAAACTCCAAGAATCCTCCTCAGGCACAGTGAGGATGCCAACAGCAATGAAAGATCTTCAGGCCTCAGAAAGTCTTGGGGCCTCACTCCTTCCTGGGTCTGGCATAGGTAGACAAGAGCTCAGACTAAGCTCCCAAGACCCAGAAGAACAGAGGAAGAGGGAGTGTGGTGGAGCCCCAGTTCAGAGCTGTACAACCCACATGCTCAGACATGTTTTACAGGCAGGATTGCTGGACCTCAGCCCAGAAGAAACTGGTTAAGCTCTCCTCATATACAGGACAGTTGACAGATGTCTTCTTGGTAGCTAGCCCAACGAAGCCTGCAGAGACACAGGAACCAGTCTGACAAGCGCTTCTTCACAGCTATTGCTCAAAGCTCAGAAGCACCCTTTTGTGTGAGGGATAACAGGAGGTGTGCAACTTAGCCAGCAAGAACAGGAGGTCTCCAAGCAGAAGCTACCGTGCTTGGCTTGACAGCTGTGACAACACCACCACGTGCTCAGGTCTCACAGCTCCCTACAGGAGCACCCTCCAGCTAATCCAGTAGCCACATAACTAGCACAAATAGAAACCCAGCAGGACTTGGAGCTATGCAACAAGCTGTTTTGAGCAAGGCAGGGAGCAGACTCTGAACTGAACATTCACTGTCTTGGATGTGTCCACCCCAGCAGAGAACAAGTTGATAAATGAGACGGCTGGAAGCCAGGAAACCAGAGAAAGCAGCAAGACTACTCCAGTTCTAAAATAAAGGCTGTAAAGTTCACAGAACCACAGACTGGTTTGGGTT